CTTGCTCCACTATTCACAAAACCTATTCTTGTTATTCTTCAAGGTTTTGACTTCTTATAAAGTAATCTGTTCATTAGGACGCATGCATACATATATAATATTTTCATAAAGATGTGCGCGGGGACCTATTGGAAGCACTCATTAAGAAAGCTAGGGAGATGGAATATGGGGTACGAACATGTCTGGTACCAAGCAATATATTTGCGGTAACCATAATAATCATAGTCTCAGAGCCTAACATCAAAAAAGGTGGGAGGGTGGAGTTAGCTGATCAGTAGATATGGTGGGGGTCACTAAGGTGAATCGCCCCATTCTGCAGGAACAGCATTAAAAAATTTGAAGGCTCGAGATATTTCTGATTTTTATGAGGGCTTAAATCTTTATCTTGAAAAAGATAACAATGAACGCCTTGACAGATCATGCTTCTACCTTTAAATATATACCATTCACCCAGCCTATTGTTGAGATGCGACCATGTGGGATCTGCTCAGATTTATGGGGCATCTTATTAGTTAACTTGCTGTCTATCGTCAGATCTTTTCATACCACTCCACAATGTCTTATCTCATTTATTTTCTGACAACGTCTTTACTTGATCCTCATTTTACTCCATTAAACTTAACATCTTATAGCTCTTCATTACTTATTATACTCCTACTCTCTGAAGGGTACGGTTGTGCACTAAATGCACAAAAAGGTATAAAATAAAAACAACTGGCATGAGGATAATTGTATTAAAACCAAAAGTGGATATCGTGATAGTTTGTGATATATCTGTAGCATTATACATTGCAAATGAATGTTGTTACCCTAGGGTGTTTCCTTTATTAATGCATTTATTAATGATACTTGCACTTACCTATCTCATTACAATTTAATGATTCACCTCAGCACTTTAATTTTTCTAAAACAGATTCCAATCCCTTGTAAAAGGTGTACTTACCTCAATATCGGTTGGTTATCGTATGCCTACAACCACGGGATGAAAACGGAACGAAGTCGATTTTCCCGCTCAACCTGGAGGACAACTGTACAATTCAATAACTATACGGCCTAATTCAGAAAATGAGTGTATTATATGTATCGAATATTTAACAGTTGAAATACGATTAACTCGTAGACAATCTACGATTTGATATTATATCATACTTGATCGTGCCTGTAAAAATGGCATGCATTTTCATGTAAATTTGTAAATTTATATGAAATACATTATTATTATTATAAATTGAAAAGGAAATACCGTGTATTTAAGGAATTTAATGCGTTAAACCAAATACATGAAACCTTTAAACTGCCTGAAGAGAAACACAAAATGAGGTCACAACTTGAAGAAAATAAAGCGCTTGTGGGTAACTCCAAAACTCAGGAACTTTGTAGGATATTGCAGAAACGTCTAAAGAGCAGTAAAGACAATACTGTAAGCAGCTTGGAACATAAGGGTATAATATACAATGATCCTCAGGTTATAAGTGAACTCCTCAATGAGTGGTTTTGCAATAACGCCAGAGTGCACACGACCCCATTTTTCCAAATGACCTGCAAAAGTAACCACAAATTAGGCGAAATAGACTTTAATATACAAAATATAGACTCAGCGATTAAGACATTGAAGTCTAGTGGTAGTACTGGAACAGACGACATACCATCTGTCATATACAAAAATGGTAGCACGGAAATGGTAGTCTTGTTACTTAGAATATTTGCTCTCTCGTTGGAAACTGGAACTTATCCTGAAGTGTGGAAAACCACATACATATTACCTAAGCACAAAGCAGGGACCAAAACCAGTGCATGCAACTATAGACCTGTCAATATAACACCGGTAATATCCCGAATAATGGAGAAAGTGGTTAAAGACCAAGTGTCAGACAACTTACTCGAACATGAACTTATCAGTCCATCACAACACGGATTTCTCAAAAAGAGATCATGTGTGACCTGTCACATAGACTTTTTCAATGAAGTTACACGAAGTAGGGACAACAGAGAACTAGTAATTGTACTATATTTCGATATAACAAAAGCCTTCGACAGAGTTCCCCATAATCTGCTAGTCAGCAGGTTATGCTCACTGGGGATATGTGATCCTCTCCTGAGCTGGATAAAATCATTTCTCTGTGGCCGAAGTCAGACAACGAAAGTTGGCTCGATAATCTCAAGGCCTAAACCAGTAAGTAGTGGTGTGATCCTGGGAAGTGTATTAGGCCCACTCTTATTCATAATATATATAAACAGTATCTGTGAATGCTTTAGTGTAGGTAAACCAATACTATATGCAGATGACTTAAGAGTGACGTATAAATGCAAGAACACAGATCTTGGAATAACAGTAAACGCCATACAGCAAGAATTAGAAAAAATGGATAGATGGTGTGACACCTGGCAACTCCAATTTAATATCGAAAAATGTGGCTGGCTCTGCATAGGCTGCAACAATTTAGAACTTGACCTGACAATTCAAGGCCATGCACTTCAACGACTGGAATCTATACTAGACCTAGGGCTGAAATATTCACATAACTTATCATTTTCTGAACATATCTCCAAACAAATGTCAAAGTTACGCAGACTTATCGGCTTTCTACTCAGGGACTTCTACAGAAATGAGTCTAGAATTCTGTTGTACAAGGTTTGTGTGCGTCCTTTATTTGATTACTGTTCATTCATGTATAGTAGTATACGCATAGAGGACAAATTGAAAGTCGAGGGAGTGCAGAGGTACTTCACGTTAAAATTACTCGGAACCGAAAATGGTGCGAACTACTCCACTAGATGTGATACCCTAGGAGTAGAAACACTATGGCTAAGACTAAACTTGACTTTTTACTATAAGCTTCTAAACCACCTAGTTTTTACCTCTACTAATGGCACTCGACTTTCAGATGACAATGGCTACAAACTTAGACACACTAAGGGTACAGTAGCTATCGAACAATGTAAAACAGCCACCATGCAAAAGTTTTACTTGATTAGGTATGCACAGATATGGAATAAACTACCAATGTAAATGCGTCAAGCAAGTACATTGGTTTCCTTCGAAAAGGTGCTTAACGACAAACTACAAGAGTTTGCAAACGGTAGTAGTCCTAGTTCCTATCTGAGAGCCTCCGAAATTATAGGTCCATTTAATGTATAAGCTTAAATACTACACCTGTTGTTTTTTGCCTATATTCATAATTCTAGATAAAACATTAAGGGTTAAGATACGTATCCTCAAACAGACAAGAAATCTCGTTTGTAAAACTACTACCCAACACAATAAGTGGAATAAAATGGACATAAACCGACAACATGAAGAAGGTATAACTCACCACAACATCACATGGACAGATGTACGCTCGTTGGGCACCATATATCTCCAACACCAACTGCAACCCACCTTTCCCTAGATAATATGATGAACTTATATCCATAATGTTGCTGAGCAGTTAATATTCTCAACTCCTGTCGGAACAGCTGAAATTAATAAACCTTCCTCACGCTAAGAAAATACCCACAAGCAGTAGAAATCCATCAATTAATGCGTCTGAAGCTTATGTATTTACTCCCAACAATGACATTGCAGATCAAATGAGATAAACATATCACTGATTTAAAAATAACACATCACTGAACTATAATTCAAGGATTCTGCACACAACAAAGTTATGTATGAAAATTGACTTCAAGCTTTATTTTTTTTCCCAGGCACTTATAATCCATCCACTAAAGACCTGGCTTTTTTGTTAATGCGAAGGCAATACTTCTGTATTTCGTGATGTGTTGCACTCACTGACAATCTAGCAGATTATTCCAACTGTGCACAGAAATGATTGTAAATAAGTGAAAAGGCTGTTTAATACTACTGGGATTAACATTTATCAAGTGTATGTATAATCTCCAGCGAACATGTAAAGCATATCTTGCTACTGCCTGTAAATTGTGATTGAATTATATGGTTCTATTTCTGTAACAATTTGATGATGCCTGTAAACTGGCGTCCCTCATGTACTGTACTATGAGAATAAATTTATTTATTTAAAAACGAGTGATGCTCCTAATCAACTTAGCGAATTGCGCCATTGTGCACGTGGATAAGCTAAGTAAGATGTACGCATACACATGTCCTTATCCTCCGGCTCTTAACGTATTTGTTCAGCTTAGACCAAAGACAAATTAAAGCACCAAATTTATTACCCGAAATACTAAATATATTTTGCGAACAAAATCTTATCTAACTAGGAAATATGCACAAAAAAGCGTAACACGGCTGCGTGCAAAATGATGTGGCTGATTGACCATGAACCTCCAGTCACTTTAAGCATTGAAGGTCAACATTCAATATTGAGTTATGAATGCTGAGTGCTAATAATCTTAGGGAATTATTTACCTCTACAATCATAAAAAGCCGCCAACTTAAAACTACATAACACTCTTGTGCGGTGGAAGCTCAGAGTCTTGGATCATTATGAGCAAAACGCAGAACGCTTACTAGATTCACCGAAGAAAAGTTCTTTAAATACATCTTTGGTGGCTGTCAGTGCTTATCCCAGGGGTGATTTATGCATTCTTGAAAGAGTTCTAGGGAAGGCAACTCGTATGACTCTCGGGATGACCAATTTATCATGCGCTGAATCTCTTCTTATAGCACCTTCGACAGCGAGATATCTTTACAATGTTTAAAATCTTTAACAGTGATTATGCACATGATCTATTTTCCCTTTCCCTTCCCACTAGGTTGGAACATAGCGGGGGAATTCCAAGGTCATGTAGGAACTATATCGCTGTGAAGTAGCGGCTCTCATATCGAGTCCTAAACTCTTGGAACCGACTTCCAGAAGAACTGTCAGCACCCTCTGTTGACGCATTTAAGAAGGGTTTGTACAAGCACGGAAACTTGTTAGAAGAAAATTAACATAGGCTTTAAGCCTACTATTCCTAATCAATAAATATAAATCTAGAAACATTTTGGTTTTTTAGCAATCAAGAAGCGTGCTCAAAGAAATCACTGGTTTATACTAGCTCGTAATCAGGATATTGGATATTGGATCAAGCAGAGCGTATTTTGCGCTCGAGGTCGCGGTGACGTCTTATTGGAATGGAAAGGCCACTGCTTTCCCCATTTAGCCCCAACTTACCTCATTCCGCTAAAGAAAGATGGATCTGTATTTATCCTGCTTATATAAACAACCGCCGGACTAGAGCTCAGGGGAGGAAACTTTCAGTTGAACAGTGTGTAGACAATCCCAAACACTCTGAAGTAACTATGATTTTGGGAAAACTGTCACTTGACCACTTGCTGGAAACCAAGGTTGCCCTCTAAAATCTGTAAATTCTTATGCCTCAGGTTCATCCAAGGGAAAGGGACGCATTTGAACCCATGAATAAGTGGCGTGTTCGAGTACATTTGAAGAACGATGATGGAACTCCTATTAATGAACAGTAAGATTAAATAATAATATAAGATTAAATGCTATTAATTCAATTTTAGGTTTCCAAACCGTCAGGCTCTTCTCCTATATTTAGGGAAGGTTATTCCTGTCATTAGATCGAAAAGACCACAAACATCCGGTTCTAACACGACAGACCAGAATTTCCAAGGAAAAAAGAACAAACGAAAAGGCAAAAAATAAGACGGCGTTTTTTGTTGCGTGCACACTAAACTGTCCTGGCGAAAAGCTGTTCAAATAAATGGTAACACATTACCCAACATCTCTATCCTACCTTGTTCTCAGATGTTCTTGGAGTTCACTAGTTTTACACTTATTTTATTTTCTTCCTTGTACATTATTACCCAGCGGTATTTTTGTGACTTCCCTTGTTCTTTCACTGGTTCACGTGATAATATACTTTGCATTTTAATCAAACATCTCTCAGACTTGCAGTTCGTGTCTTTGGGAAGCACAGTGTTATATTTTTACTACGTCGCATTTGTGACATTCTTATCAGCAGTAAGTTTGCTATAAATTATAGCTGTAGGTAATATCTACAATCGAATAAATTGCAGTTCATATTGTACAATGGTGATTTTATCATGTAGCAATAAGTTTAGGTGGTAGCAAATGAGTGATGCGTATAAAAATTAGTAAACCTAAAACTTAATTGATGGAATGTTTCAAAATTCGAGTTGTAGTAGTGTACGTATTTACTGATATTTCCTGTAAACTGAGTGCAGTTAATTTCATCCTGACATCATGTACACATCTCTAAGAGTATTAACTAACTTCCCAATCTCTAAATTTCGTTACAGGTTTCCACAAAGTTTGATTGAACTTTCAGATTACGTACGAGCTAAGAGCGACATTGTTGGAATAAGTATTTAACTTTTTACTGAGTATTATGACTTGAGCTCAATTATTACAGCAGTAAATATGTTCTTCATTGTGATTTTTCTGGATATACTAATGTTTTTATTCTGGTTATTGTATGTTTTAAGAGTGATTTTTTTAATACGTTGGTAAGATGAGTCAAGTTTTGAAAAAGCTTATCGGAAGATATTGTGTGAGAAATTGTACTTCGAGGTCCAGTAAACACCACGTGGTTCAACCTACAGTGAGCGAACGCAAAATTGCACGTATGGGCAAAATATGTAGTTTCCCCACGCCTACTTCTAGCTTTTGTCTGGCAGTCGTAAAGTTAGAGGAAATTGCTTTGTGACATACTGCCCGTCAAACCTCTGGTTATCATGCTGGCGTCAGATGTGCTAAAAGAGCCAAGTCAGCAACCATTATTGGAGCTCATACAGCCTCCAGAATCAGTAAAGTCACCATATTCAGCGCCTAACCACTTACAAAAATTAAGGGTTTTGAAAACCTCTGTAGCATCACACCACATTTGACAGTGATGCAGTGTATATCAATCAAACATCACTGTCCTCAAAGCCCTAATGGGACTACGTTGTTTCAGCGACTTCATCTGAGGGTAAAATGTCCTCAGCTTTTCTCCAAGAAGCAACTCTAGCCATTGGAATTCGTAGTCAATACATCCTTTCAGTACATTTGTAATGAAATTGAGTGAAACTGTTATATATCTTTGGAGGACACTTCTAATTGTAGTCACTTTTGTTGGAAACTCAGCGTAACCTGTTATTTGACTGTGTTGGCGTGAGTCTTATTCATCAAGCATAACTTGTCAACATCGGGCTATGCACTCGAGCATTATCCAGTAGGTTCAGAGTTCGAATCCTGTCCTGACTACCAGTTCGGTAATATCATTAGTGCTCACACCATAAGTGTACCTCATAGCTTGGTAGTTTAAGATCTCTGTTTAACTAACCTGTAACTAGTCAACTTGCTATATGCACAAACACTACTACAACACTTCACGACTAGTGGGAAAAAATGCCGCTGTGGAATGCATAGATCGTTGTGCAATAGATTCCAGATAGTATCATACGGTTTAAATGCAGAGTCACAAAGCTGTTGTAAAGGATGATAATAATAGCTTTATTTCAAACAGTACTTTTGATACCTATGTAGGACTTTTAGCATGTATACAATATTGCATCTAATTTTCTCATTAAATAGTACAGGGGCAATAAACAGAGCATTTGCATTAGTGATATTTGTTAAGTAAGAATATGAGTACAAAATTAAAGTAAAAGTATTAAAATAATGAAGGAAAGAATAATAGGAGCGGCTTACTTAGGCTTCCTCAGTAAGTTTGTGGTTTAGTAGAATGAAGTGTTATGCAACTTTATTGTCTGTTTTAAAGTTTCGTAGTTGAGCATTAGTAATTAAAGTAAAAGGAACCTGATAGTTTTCCTTGACCTAATAGTCTTATCATGTTCGAGGAAAAAAACTTCCAGTAAATAAATTAGCCATCATTCTTTATTCAAAGATCATGCTTTTTCATGAATGGAATTTGATGAAATAAAATTGATTATAATTGCTTCTCATGGACATCTGGTTCAAAACAGCCGTCTTCATATCGTTACTTTTAAAAGCGTTTTGTTTATATAACTCGAAACTTCTGGAGCATTGCCATAATTTTGCTGAATTTGGACTATGCGTGGTCACTGATTTTATGTACTTTTCAAACCAACAAATGTTAACAGCAATCAAGTGTGTGACGCAATGTAAAGTATATCCGAAGACAGTTTTATTAGTCGTTATCAGTTAACTTTATTATGAGGACTGGTCACTACATTTCAGTAATGAGGACTGACATTAGACATCATCCGCTTTACTCACAAAATTGTCTCATTTGGTATCAGTAGATGTTCATCGTCACAATAATGAGTTTACTAGTTGTCCAACACATGTAATTAATTGGAGATGTCAAATTTCTTTGGCAATTGATTGCCGTACTGGAAATCACAACCTGTCCGTGTTTTATTATTCTTGGTATGTCGAAGTAGTTTATAATATCACTGGGAGCAAGAGTTTGGAATCTAGATAGGTAGTGAATATGTATTCCAGGGCTAGTGCGTTGTTGGTCTTTACTGACTGACTGCTAGTCAGTCGAGATGTATATGGATAGTTTCGTCTAGATTCTAGTTCAGCTATAGTCTTACGCAGTTGAATAGTGTAGCAGCATGCTGGAGATTGATTACAGAATCTTTTATTGTTTTATAAGACCAAGCTTACTGTTACATATAGTAAGGGAGCTCATAATGTGAGGAATAGATTTATGGAACTAGAAATGGGAAATATGGATTCCTAAAAAAACTGATGTATTGTTGTCATGTGAAGCAATCTTCTGCTTCTTATTCAGCACCACATTCCGATTGCAGTCGGTTATCTGTCACCACTTTTAACTTGCTCAACAATTGCCTACAAGCTCATTTCCCCCACATATGATCCCTTTTACGTCATCTTTGGATGCTCGACGTATTCGGGGTGCACTTGAGGGCTGTCTGGCATTTTACTTCACTGAGTGGTCTCCTCAGCGTATGTCCACTCCGTCTGCATTTGCTTCTACGTATTGGTTGAACTACAGATTCTTGGTTGGTTTGTTGACTGCCAAAGTTCTTTGTTCCTTATCCTCTCCGGCTGGTCATCTGATCTGCAGCATCGAACGATGGTAGATATTGATGGAAGTTTGCATATGGATGTTGAATGTGCTTTGCATGATGCTGTATGTCTCTGAATCATGTACTCGCACTGACTTGACATTAGCTTTGCAAGTTTGTATCTTATTCTTTGTGCTTAATACTATAGGTCGCAAATCTTCAGAATAATAAGAAGCGATCCGACCTAGCTACGAAACATACTAAAGCAGTCAGTCACACAAGTTAAGGTGTGTACCAATGAGATAAATAAACGACAGTATAGAATCACTGACAAACTATACAGTATACACTAAAGAGACTTTGCAATGAGAAAATTGTTTATTACGCAAACAATGGACTGAACTCCATCATATGATTTAACGTGTAGTCTCACAGGATAACTGAATCGTCGAAAGGATTATTTCAAAACCCAAGAAGATTACTATTCGACTAGCTTTCTGTTAAAATGAGGTACTATTGAAATACAGGATAAAAATACGAACTGGTTGTTTCTCAAGTATAAATACTAACGGGTTTATTAACAGGGATTGAAAACCTCAAAACAATTTGGTTAGTGGAGTTGCAATTTAAAAGCTCTTATGTTAATTAGTCACGAAGTTTCATCGAACAGTGTATTGCCCTTATTATTCAAACGTCAGAAAAAGAAAACTGATTACCAAATACTGACGGTATTGAAAATTTGTTTTCTGTTGCATTTTACATCTTCGTCGCTTCTGCTTGAAGAATTGAAGGTGGATCATAAATCGAATTCTCAATTTGCTAATTAATTTTTAAGTTACACAGTCTGAGGTGGGATTTCACCACAGTTTACTTTGGAAGCCAAAATTATTCAGATCGAAATATGTGATCTGCTTGATACCATAAAGCGTAATCAAGGAAACAAGTTTATATGGATGGAAATATATACTACTGATTAGTTGATTTGAGTAGTTGCGTACGATCCCCATCAACTAGTAGTGCTTACTAGCCAGATCGAAATGGTCGCTCGTTTGGGGCCGAACTCACCAGCGAGGTACTCGGTTCGACTCAGTTTGGAGAGGCGAATCAACTCAAAATACCGGATTTCTGGTTGGTCAGCTGGGCGAACTGGTAATATTAATGTCATCAGAACAAGATGGTTTTGAGCGAACAATTGTTTTCGAAATATTCATGAATTTATAACTGAACAGCCTGAGAATGAAGTTATCGAAAACAGTTGATCGCTCACAACTATCTTGTTCTGATTACACTATGGGGATTTTTAATTTACTCATATTAGTATCATTGAGAAGTTTGTGAGTTGTGGAATGGATCAAATTAATTATTAAAATTCCGTCTCAACAGTTTACATACACTCATAAATTTTTATTTTGGTGATATTTCGAGCGAAATCACTACCCGTGATGACACCAACTGTTGGAATTGTTTTTTTATCAGTTAATAAAAAACCATCCCAACAGTTGGTGTCATCAAGGGAAGTAATTTCGTTGGAAATATTAGCAAAATAAAAAAAACTTCTCAGTGTATTATTATCATTATTGTATCTTTTAATTCCTACAGGAACATAGGGCTTCAGCCATGCGTCTCCATTGCGTTCTGTTCTCTGCTAGAGTCTTCACCTGGCTCCATGTCTGCCCACACATTTTCATCTCCTCTTCACATGACCTACTCCAAGTCACCCTTGCACTGACGACCAACTCGCCGCTTCCCTTTCGGGTTCCACTCGAGCAATGGCTTGTCTAGTGATGTCACTTGATAACTTCCTCAGAGTATGGCCAGCCAATCCATCTCCATTTCTTCCTGCCTATTTGTTTCACAATCGGTTCCTGGTTGGTTCGTTCCCAAAGATCCCTGTTGCTGATCTTTTCTGGCCGGCCATCTGATCTTGAGTATTGAGCGGAGACAACTGTTAATGAAGGTCTGTAGTTTGTTTGAGATGCTCTTTATGACGCTCAGTGCAAGTCTCTGATCCGTATAGTAGCACTGACTTCACATTGGAGTTGAAAATCCGGATGCTATTTTTGATGCTGAGTGTCGTTGACCTCCACACAGACTTGAGAGTAGTGAAAGCTTGTCTCACTTTCTCGATTCTTGCCTTGATATCCTCGTCAGTTCCGTCCGCCTGTAGTTGAAACGATGCTTCCCAGGTAGGTAAAAGAGGTTGTTTCTTTTAGGTTCCTCCCACTTATGCTGATTGTTGTCAGTTGTTGTTGTTCCTGTTGGTGGTGTTGGCCAGGAATTTTCATCACCTCTGTTTTATCTATGTTCACCTGAAGTCCTATCTTTGATGCTTCTTCTGCTAACTTGTTGCTTTTCGCTTGCATGTCTTCCAGTTTGTGGGAAATCAGACATATATCA